GTGGTCAGGTCAAGGAGGCAGCAGGTCCAGGAGAGAAACTCAGACCTCCCTCTCTTCAGAAACTCTCCGGTTCCTCCTGGGTTTTTTTTTTATTATTATTATTATTTGTGTGTGTGTTTGTTTCATTTCTTGTGACTTGGCATTATATAAATAAACTGAATTGAATTGAACTAATAAAATGTGTCCAGAGTCGCAAAATGCAGTATGCTACAACTGTGATTATCAACTGGTGGTCCGAGGGCCACTCTGTGGAATTTTATTTTTATTTTTGGTCTGTGGGGGGAAACTATAATTGTAATTTATAATTTTAATGTTTCTTATCATTTTTACACTTTAAGACAAAAAAGACCATCTTTGTGTAAACAAGACAAAGGTAAAACCACTCATAATTTTTTCTTTAAAAATATTAAACTGCTGAACTACACAGCATATGCTCTTTTTTCTAATTCTTATTGTTATCTAATCAACTCATTTCTTCTCAGTAACTTGTCTTAAAGGTACTCCAAAAACAAACAAACAAAAAWGATAGAGAGATGAAGAAAGGTCATACGGAGTGAAATTATTGAAGTGGCCAACAAACTAGTTCTACTAGATGATATAATCGACATGTTTTTACTCTTGTATTGTGTAATTCACTTATTTGCAAAAATATTTACAGGAAAACCAATAACGATAGTCTTTTCTGTTGTGGGTATGAAAAACTTAAAAATTTAAGGGGGGGGGGGTAGTGTGTATTTTCCAAGCACATAATTCAATTCTACACCATAATCAAATAACTGTCACCTTCAGTTATGAAAATGCAGTACATATCAAAAATAAATTTGACTTTGCATAAGAACCTATTCAAATGCCTTCAAATTGGCCTCTGTCTCTTTAAGAACCTCCTGCCATTTCAGACACTCCCACTTCAGCACGTTTTCAAACAAGGCTTTGGGAGAGGGGTGCTCTGTGGGGCGGAGCCTCAGACTGAGCTACAGGGTGGAGCTATGTACAAACAGGCGGGGCTTTGTACCAGCAAGTGTTAAGGCAGCTCCTCGTGGCTACCACAGCAGATTCAAGGGTTTCTCAAACCAAACATGCACAAATGAGTCAAAGCCACACTCTGTGTATGTTTTGGATGAGGGAATGACTTTATAACATGATATAAAGCTCAAAAAAGTCTACTGTTAGTTTTGGTTAAATGAGACCAATGCAGAACTCTGATCTAGTGGAACGTGCCCGGAAAACCTCAAAAAGGAGACATCCTAATCAGATGCTCAAACCATCTCAGCTGACTCTTTGATGTGGAGGAGCAGCGACTCTACCATGAGCTCCCTCAGGACGACGGAGCTCCTCACCYTATGTCTAAGGCTGAGTCAGGCCACTGTACTATGGAAGCTCATTTTGGTCATTTGTTTCCAGGATCTCGTTTTTTCAATCCTGATTCAAACCTCATGACCACAGATGAGGAGGGCTGGAACGTAGATGAACCAGTAAATTAAGAGCTTTGCCTTTTGACTTCCTTCACCATGTTGAATATATTGAATATGATACTACGTATATGTATGTATAAAACAGGTTTATACAATATGTGACCATCACATCTGACACTCTCACCAGTTATAAACCAGATGTTGACCACAGATTAAGTTCTAACAGCTTGGTTGTCCGTTTGTTCATACATGTCAACAAATTACTGTCAGGACTTTTGACTAGTTCAAGTGCATGTGCTGAGTGACTCGTGTGTGTGTGTGTGTGTGTGTGTGTGTGTGTGTGTGTGTGTGTGTGTGTGTGTGTGT